CCCCCCCCCCCCCCCCCCCCCCATTAATAACAAACTGACCGTTCAGGTCCACTGACGAACCTCCGCCGCTGAAAATAGTCCCAACACAGTGCGATCACTGACACGTGACCACCCTCTGTTGTTACTTATAAACATGTATGATATAAACATGTCAGCAGTTTGTGTGTGACCTCACCGTCTGTGATGATCAGAGTTTTAGCAGCACTCCTCTGTTTGGACATGACGTCACACAGGTGTACAGACGGACAGGTGTTTGAGTCATCAGTCACTTATCGATCGGTATTGATCATCATCGGGATCATGCGTGAGCGTCTCGCGCCGTGTCTCCGCTGCAGGACCCTGAAACCAGACCCGGAAACACACCCGCCGCTCCAAACTCACGTGACGGGTCTGAGAACTTCTCATTGGCTGGGACGGTCACATGACGCAGGACGAAAACACGGCACCAGGAAGTGCGTTTCATGCTCGAGCCCGGTAAAAAGAAAAAAAAGAAAAAGGGAAAAGTGTCCCCACGTGGCCCGGTCCGCTGTAGTCCGGTGTGTTTACCTGCAGAGACCCGGAGGAGACCGTCTGAACGGTGAGTGGACGATTAACGGTGGTGCACGAGGCCGAGTTAGCACGGCTCGGCTCGGCTCGGTTCGGCTCGTTTCGTCCCGGCAGGGATATGAGGTGGGTCGGAGGGTTGGCAGCGGATGTGGAGCTGGGTCGCTTGGTTCTGGTTCATATTCAGGTCTAATGCGGGTCTCCTGACCCGGGTCTGGTCTCAGGTCAGTCTGAGGCTAGAGCTCACACACCGTCAGTCTGGAGACAGATTATCTCCACACACCGAACTCCATTAACAAATCCTCTAATTTAACGTCAACTCGTCCGCGTGTTGGCTGAGACTGAAGCCGGATGTGACTCAATGAGCTCCCTCATTAAGAAGCCGTTTGTTGTTTATTTCATGTTGATTTAAAGCCGAAGTGAAGAAGAGTCCAGACGGTCTGTGACACGTGTCTCACTCTTGTTCTCCGTGTTGATGTTGTCAGTTAACGGGCCTTTGTTTTTAAAATAGGACATTTTCTAAAAGCAGTTTGGCGCGGAGCTTTTAAACGTTCCCTCTGATCATGAGGCTGAGGGGCGTGTCTACAGACTCCAGTATGACGTCATGTGTTTATTCTGCAGGGCTGGGAGATGTCTGAGGAGGCTCCCAATGAGGGGGACCAGCCCCAGTCCACCCAGTCCCCGTCCCAGGCCCAGTCCACTTTGTCCCCATCCCAGGCCCAGTCCACCCAATCAACCCAGTCTACCCAGTCCCCGTCCCAGCCCAAGTCCCAGCCTGGTTCCAGTTCTTCCAGTGGGCCGACATCAGGCAGCCAGTCATCCAGCGGCTCGGGGACGCTGAGCAGCGTGGACACCATCCCTGTCACCCTGCCGTCTGTCCCCGAGGAGCCCGAACCACAACCCTGGGGCCGCCTGCTGCCGATGGCCCCGGGCTTCAGGAGCCTCGGTGAGCCCACATGTGCTAACATGCTAACACTGAGGCTAATGCCAACACTGGTACTGTTTGTTTCTTGTTGTTGATTGTTTGTTTGTTTGTTTACAGACTGTTTTGAGGAGCAGTACCTGTTTGGACGCGGTCCAAAGTGTCAGTATGTCCTCAGAGATCCGAACGACAAAGAATCCAAAAAGTTCCGAATCTACAGCAAGAAACACTTCAGGATCTACAGAGTGAGGTCACTTCCTGTTTACTGATGATGACTGAGTGAAGGTGTGTGAGTGTATACCCTGACCGTAAGTGTGTGTGTGTGTGTGTGTGTGTGTGTGTGTGTGTGTGTCAGGAGGGCAGCGAGGTGTTTGTGGAGGACTACAGTAACAATGGGACATTTGTTGACGGGATAAAGATCGGTCAGGACAGGAAGCTTCCTCTCATCAACAACGCCGTGCTCGCTCTGGCTGAGCCACGAAACAAAGGTGAGACACGGCTGAACACCTGAACAGGTGACTGTGGACACAGGTCTCACCTCATACTGTCTGTCTGTCTGTCCGCAGTGTTTGTCTTCATGGACCTGATGTCCGACGATCAGTCCAGTTTACCCAGAGAGCTTCAGGAGAAATATCTGCTGTCTCGACGCATCGGCACGTGAGTCACTGTTCATGCCACCATGATGTCACTTCCTGTGCTCTGACACACTGAACTTAGTGTGTGTGTGTGTGTGTGTGTTACAGAGGAGTGTGTGGTGAGGTCAAACTAGCGTTCGAGCGATCGTCCTGCAGGAAGTTTGCAGTGAAAATAATAAACAAGAAGAACTTCCAGTCTGAAGGGGTGAGTCATCTCGTCTGCTCTCTGATTGGCTGAGAGCTCTCCTTCTTCCTCCCCTTGTTACCTTCCCTTGTTTCCTTCTTTCCTTCTGGTGAGTGATGAAGCTGGAGTTAGATGGGGAAAAACATTAAAAAAACTACAAAGATGGCGTCTGAACGTCGGACTCACTGATGACCAGCGGCAGGTCAGGATGGTGATCATGTGATCTGTTTGTTTTTGTCCAATCACAGACGGCAACACGAAACGCACAGACAGAGATCGAGATCCTGCAGAGAATCGACCACGTGAGTCTGACACCAACGAAGAAGAGACAAGATCACACACACACTGACCCTTTAAGAGACGTTACTGATAACAACAATAATTACTGTTATTAATGGTTTAATAACTGTTAATTAATTAATATTATTATTTAATAATTCATATTTTCAAATATTTTTTATTTAATTACTAATTATTCAATAATTATTTCATAACTTAGTGTTATCAGTAATCACTGATGGTGTTTTGATCCTCTCCTTGTCTCCTCCTCTCCTTGTGTCCTGCAGCCTTGTCTCATAAAGACGGAGGACTTCTATCAGACAGACGACAGTTATTACATCGTGTTGGAGCTGTGAGTCAGCTGATCATCATCAATAAGATCAATAAATGTATTGATTCAGTTTCACAGAGCTGCTGCTGATCACACTGATACTGGTTACCAGTCTGATACTGGTAGATGTTATGGTTTATCTTTAAGGCTAATAAAGTCCTGCCTGTCTGTCTGCCTGTCTGTCTCTCAGGATGGAGGGAGGAGAGTTGTTCCACAAACTAAAGACTCAGCAGCAGCTCAAAGAATCCGTCACCAAACTTTACTTCTATCAGATGCTGAAAGCTGTCCAGGTGAGACAGAGACACTGTTGCTATGGTAACCACCACACACCTGAGTCCACTGAGTGTAACTGTGTGTGTGTGTGTGTGTGTGTGCGCGCAGTATCTCCACAGTAACGGGATCATCCACAGAGACCTGAAACCTGAGAACGTCCTGCTGTCCTCACTGGAAGACATCTGTCTCATCAAGGTACGTTCACCCTCATCTTCATCACCCTCATCACCTTCATCACCGTCCTCACACTCCTCATCACACTGTGTGTCCCTGTCCCTGTCCCTCAGGTGACAGACTTTAACCAGTCCAGGATCCTGGACTCGACCCTGCTGATGAGGACTCTGTGTGGCACTCCGTCCTACCTGGCACCTGAAGTCTTCACCCACGCCACCAGCACAGGATACGGCCTCGCCGTGGACGTCTGGAGCCTTGGTGTCCTGCTCTTTGTCTGGTAGGCTCACACCTGTCTCTACCTGTGTCATGGGCATCTGTTACCTGTCCCTCAGGTGTTAACCTGTCTGTCTGTCTGTCTGTCTGTCCATCAGTCTCGGAGGTTATCCTCCGTTTCATGAGAGTTTTGGTCACCTGACGGTCACAGAGCAGATCATCAGAGGAGAGTTCATCATGGTGCCGTCCAAGTGGAGCCACATCTCTGACCGAGGTACGACTGTCATCATAGTGACCTGTCTACTGTGACAGTGCTGCAGTGCTCACTGTGTGTGTGTGTGTGTGTGTGTGTGTGTGTGTGTGTGTGTTCCCAGCGAAGGACGTGGTGAGGAAGCTGCTGGTTGTTGATCCCAGTAAGAGGATGACTATCGAGGAAGCTCTGCAGCACCCGTGGTTACAGGTAACTACACCTGGTACACAGTCCTGCTGCTGTAGGGCTGTGACACCTGAGGAAATTCAGCCTGAACTAAAGCTCGCCTCCACCAAACCCTCTGGAACCAGCAGTAAGCCTTCAGACATGGTACCTAGACCCTCGGTGTGTTCAGACAGTCCTCTTAAATGTGGGCGGGGTTGTTGTCACTCACTGCTCCGTCCAGCATTCGCTGTATTTCCTCATCAGCGGTGACACAGATGGAAGTCTGCACCTGGTTTATCGTCCACAGAACGAGGCTGCACGCCCACATTTTCACAACAAAATAGAACAGGCTGCAGTGAGAGTCTCTCTCCATGGGATATTTAAAAATAGCAGCTTTGTGCATTTAGTCCTTCTCAGGCAAGCTCAGGGGTTTAGTGTTGCTGTAGCCCACAGGAAGTGAGGATTAGAATATATGACCTTCACATAATCCGCTCCAAATTTATCTATATTTTTAAAGTCATTACTAAAAGTGTGTGTCATATAAAAACTAAAGTGATGGTCAAAGTTGTCACAGTGAAATTTAAGGTGTGCTGATGGATTCACGTCATCAACTCATGCATTGAGTAACATTACAAGTTAACGTTCCACCTTAAAAGTTGCCGGCAGTCGGCCCAGTGAATGAAGTTATTTTTTCTCTTTCATTTTATAGTTGTAGTTTACTGATGTATGAACAGAGGTTACATAAAACCAGAGTGAGCGTCCTCTACTGACCAATCAGACTGCAGGGTTTCTAGCTCCACCTTTTAGTACCAGATCTGTGTGCTAGGTACCCCAACAGAGGGGGGACCAAACATGGGGACGCTAAGGAACGCTTCAGGTAGTTTTGGAATAATCTGAAAAGTTAAGTTTGCAGCTGGGAACATACACGTCATGTCATACAAGTCTTATTTAACAGGTGTCGTGGCACCAAAGGACGCACCGCCACTTTTTCCCCACAGTGATGAAACAGAATATTTTCAGTTCACATAATCTGGTGATGAGTGATGAAACAGTGTGAAGGTGCATGATGGGAGATGTAGTCTCAGTGCTGTTGTCTGTGTTCAGGATCAAGAGATGATACAGACGGCTCACAGACTCATGTACCCCTCTGATGCTGATGCTGTGGCCCCGCCCCCTGGACCCTCCCACCAACAGGAGGCGGAGTCAGCCTCCCTAATCTCCAAAAGGAAGAGAAGAAGAGATGAAGGTGACAAAGATGAAGGGGAGGAGCATCCGGCTAAACGGAGCCAAGCCCCGCCCCCTGACCCACTGTAAGGACCAATCAGATTCTGCCATTCCTCAGGTCATGTGACTCAGCGACTTCACTAACTGTAAATAAACTTCATATTTTTCACTGTTTGAAAATTTTATTCTTCAATAAAGTTTAAATATTAAAATCATATTGACTGATTATTGATCAAAGTTCACCAATGACTTCACATGAAGACAGTCAGGGGGCGGGGCTTTACACTGTTAGTGTTGTCATGGCGACAGTGAGTCAGATAAAGAGACAAAGACCAACGTGAAAATAAACTTTATTTGTTACATTTATTATCATTCATAAAATTATTGAACCTGTCAGCTGATTCTGAGACATTTTATTTACAATCACAAGTTTGACTGAAGCCATTTGTTTGTTTTTATTTGTTTAAATAAAGTTATGAATCAAACTGAAGACGTGGATCATGTGACCGTCATGTTTTCCTGTCAGCTGATATTTGTAATTATTGATTTAAGGTTTAATGAAAACAGAAAAACTTCACATAGACTGAACTGATCAGACACACCTGTCCTCTTCATCATCATCATCATCATCATCATCATCAAATGACTGAATGATTGACTCCTCCCGCCCCTCCTCCATGTGACATCACAGCTTGGCTTTGCGACGGTCTCTGATGCTGTACAGCACGGCGTGAGCACGGTCGAACGACTCGCCGACGGCCGACTGGACTCTGCTCTTCCAGCGCTGCAGCTGTGGACGCTGCTGCAGGACGTCTCTGCCCCCTCCCAGAGGCTGCAGGGAGACACACTGGGCATGCTCAGAACCAGCAACCAATCACCAAGCTCCTCTAACATTTGACAAAACACACACACACACTGGCCCCTTTTACACTTCCTGTTCAAGGCGGGAATGTGACGGTGTTATTCTGCCTCACCGCTCTGTATAAAGGGTTCGATCGCAGAATGAGGGGAGAGAGACGCAACAGCCCCAAGACGTCTGTATAAATGTGACAGCCAGTAGGGCGGGACGGGTGTGACGCTCTGATGACGTGTTCAGTGTGTGACCCACCGCAGGAGACTCAGAAATTAGCTATTAGCAGTTACTAGCTAACTCAAAGAAGAACAGCAGCTGTTAGCAGTTAGTGGCTAACTCACAGAAGAAAAATGGCAGCTGCTAGCAGTTAGCAGCTAACTAAAAGAAGAACAGTAGCTGTTAGCAGTTAGCAGTTAACTCAAAGAAGAACAGCAGCTGTTAGCAGTTAGCAGTTACCTCAAAGAAGAACAGCAGCTGTTAGCAGTTAGCAGCTAACTCAAAGAAGAAGAACAGCAGCTGTTAGCTAACTCACAGAAGAAGAACAGCAGCTATTAGCACTTAGCAGCTAACTCAAAGAAGAACAGCAGCTGTTAGCAGTTAGCAGCTAACTCAAAGAAGAAGAAGAAGAACAGCAGCTGTTAGCAGTAAGCAGCCAACTCAAGAGGAAGAACAGCGGCTGTTGGCAGTTAGCAGCTAACTCAAAGAGGAAGAACAGCAGCTGTTAGCAATTAGCAGCTAACTCAAAGAGGAAGAACAGCAGCTGTTAGCAATTAGCAGCTAACTCAAAGAAGAAGAACAGCAGCTGTTAGCAGTTAGCAGCTAACTCAAAGAAGAAGAACAGCAGCTGTTAGCATTTAGCAGCTAACTTAAACAATGAGGTCCAGGAGCTCCTTACCCTCCGAGCAGAGGACGAGATCAGCCGCCATATAACAGGGACGCTAAATGATTGTTATTGACATGTGATGTCATTGTTATTGTTTATAAAGAGCTGCTGACACGTTTGTTATATGTCACACTGGAGGCCGACACTGTTGTGTTACATGTCACGTCTCTTTTGATTCTGTGATGTCATCCTGCTGAATGGACGGGGTCGCGGCTCTATGGCGCCACCTCTGTGTTAAAAGGGCCGTGTGTGTTTCCAGCAACAGTACCTGAGGGGGGAGGGGCTTAGGGAAGAATCGCATGATTAATATGTCATCCAATCAGAGCGACTGACCTGCATGAGCTCACAGATGGCGAGCAGGTCGGCTACAGTGATGTCATCACCACACAGGAAGGGCTGTCTGCGGAGGAACATGGTCTCCAGTTTATCCAGAGTGTCGTCCAGCTGAGACAGAGCACGAGCCAGACGCCCCTCGTCCACCTGAGAGCCGCTCTGAGCCGGGAGGAGCACCTGGAGCACGGGAGGGGGCGGAGTCATGAACTTGACCAACACAGTGATCATCATCATCATGAGGTGATTCATGTGATGCGTTTCATCGTTTTCCCGCCACAACACTGAACTGACGTCAAGAACCGAAGGGAGCTCAGAGAGCGCTGATGAACAGACGGAGGTAAAACACACTTTGTGAGGTTACACCGACCTCAAGACCAGGAAACAGGAAGTGCTAACATGCTAACATGCTAACTCATCTCTGGGTGTTTGGACTCAACCCTGCAGCCATCTGTTGTTGTTGTTGTTCACAGTCATTGATCCTGAGTTTGATTATTGATGTGTATTTGGTCTGTGTGTGATCAGACGGAGGGTCGTGTTGATCCACAGACGTTCAGACGATTCACTGACTCAGTTTAACACGACTCCTCTAAATCAATCAATCACCCATCGATCAGATGTGTTCACTGTGTGTGTGTGTGTGTGTGTGTATGTGTGTGTGTACCTCCAGTATAAACACTTTGGCGGCGTGTGGTCGTGTGTTGGTGTGATGCCACGCCGTGTACTCGTCCACTCTGGCTCGTCTCTCTGGTTGCCGTGGATACCAGTGCTCCGGGACATTGTGTTTGGTGGCCAGGTACTTCAGGATGGCGTCACTAACACACACACACACACACACCCACACACACACACACAGTAAAGTCTCACTAACAGCTACAAGAGCAGAGCGAAGATGATGATGATGAAGAATCCTCAGTTTTGTTGCTTCGACAAAAATAAAACTCACATTGTTTAAAAACACACAACAACTTAAGTTTTCTCCTTAAATATGACACAAAAGGCTTAATTTCTCCTTAGCTGAGGGACTTATACAGTTGCACAGAACCCCTTAAGTTTTCCTTAGTTGAGAAAAACCCATTTACTGTTACAGGAGATTTTACAGCAGTAACGGTTTCCATGGAGACTGTTTGTTTGTTTATTTGTTTGTTTGGACTCACAGACTATTTTTTTTTAACTTGCTTTGGTTGCTAAGGTCTTTTGTGCAACAGTCTAGGGATTACTTTAGCTTAAGTGAACATTTTAAGGATTCCTTAGGTGTAAGACCAACATTAAGAGAGAAACATAAATACATAAGTTAACATTTTAAGGAAACTTAAGAAGACTTAAGGGTCTTTTGTGCCAAGGGTCTAGGGATTCCTTAAGTATAAAGCCAAAACAAAGAGAAACCTTAAATACTTAAGTGAACATTTTAATGAAATCTTAAGAAAGACTTAAGGGTCTTTGTGCAACAGATTTTTTTTTTTTTTTTTTTTTTTTAGGAAACCTTAAGTAGGACTTTACGGGAAATCTTAACTTAAGGTGTTTTGTGCAACCGGCCCCAGAATATGTGTGTGTGTGTGTGTGTGTGTGTGTGTGTGTGTGTGTGTGTGTACCTCTCAGTAAGGACGAAGTCGTTGTCCACCATCACAGGAACTTTTTGCATCGGGTTCAGTTTGGTGAACTCTGGAGTCCTGTTCTCTCCTGCACCAAACCAGCACAGAGAAAAAGCTAGAACCAAACTCCCTTATATTTAGGTATATGGCTTGATGACAAGATGTCTTTTAATGTACATATTGACAAATTGCTGAAGAAGCTTAGGCCAAAACTGGCTTTTTTCTTTCATTTAAAAAAATGTTTCCCATTCGAAGCCAGAAAGAAACTTGTGCAAAGCTTGTTGTTATCTGTTTTGGATTATGGAGATGTGATATATATGCATGCAGCATCTTCCCTGCTTAAAAAGCTGGACTCTGTTATCATGCAGCAATCCGTTTTGTAACGAGTGCAGGCTCACGCACACACCACTGCACCTTATATGAATCATTAGGATGGCCCTCCCTATACCAGAGGAAAAAAACACACATGTTGACTTTTAATTTTAAAACATTAGTTGGTAAATTACCATATTATATCTCCAGACTTCTGTCTCTTTATACGAACACCTACAGCACTAGACGAGCAGCAAATGTGATGCTTTTAAATGTTCCCCGGATGCAGTCGGATCTTGGTAAAACCTCATTTTCTTTCTATGCCCCCTCATTATGGAATGAGTTGCAAGATAAAATTAACCTACAGTCCCTTCCTACTGTAAATATGTTTAAAGGTATTTTAAAATCAGTCCTTCAGGAAACATGCAGTTGTTTTAATTAATGTTCACTTAAGATTGCCCTTTACTGTTGATTTTTTATTGTTTTCATCGTATATGTATTTTTTATTGTTTTATGTATGGAACTTATGTGTGCTGTCTTGGCCAGGACTCCCTGGAAGAAGAGATCTTGTATCTCAATGGGACATTTCCTGGATAAATAAAGGCTAAATAATAAAAAAAATATATAAGGAATCCCTTAATTTAATGTACCACGACATGTTGTTCAGCACACAGACCAGACCGACAGGAGCCTTTCAAACAGTTCGGCATTATCATGACATCACAGTGACGTAATTTTGTCACATCTTGAGCTTCAGTTTCTGAATTCACCAACTTTCCTTCACTCATGAAACACCGCGGCGGATCCGGACAGAGGAGCGCGAGTCCCGCCTGAAAATTTTATGTTAACATAACAAACATTTGTACATTTTACAAATTAATCTAAAACCTGACGGATTTTTCATTAAGTTTTGTTTGGCGCGATAAGAGCTGTGATGTGGATCAAAGTTCACCGGGTCAAAGGTCGCGGTCACCGAAACTCCTTAAACTCTTTAAGGGCCCTCCACACAGCGGACCGACCTCACCACCGACTCGGTACGTTTACCGGTTAACTCGTTACAGTTCCCGGTTAGTCGGTTAGTCACTCACCTCTCCGCAGAGCCACAGTGCGGACGGTGTGCGGGATGTTGGTGGTGTTGAGCAGGATGTGCACCGCGCGGCACGGCTGCGACAACAGGTCCAGGTACACCTCCAACATCCGGCGGGTCGCCATGGAGACGCCACGGGTCTGTACCGGAGAGAGAAACGGAGAGGAAGAAAACAACAACAACAACAGGTCAAAGTAACAAACAGCTGCTCCTCTTCCTCCCTTCCTTCTTCTTCTTCTTCTTCTTCTGTGTGTGTGTGTCTGCGGTGAGCACAGCTCCGCCCCCTGCAGGCCGCTTTGCGCACTGCAGCAGCTTCAGTCTGCTGTGACGAAACACACATACACACACACACACACACACACACACACACAGGTGTTTCTTGTGTTTCTGTTCAGGAAACCAAAGGACACGTTCTTCCGCAGAAAGACAAAAAAACATCAGTGTTTTGAGAAATAAAATAAAACAAAATAAAATCATTCTTCACACTAAAATAAATCAACAGAACATCTGTGTTTCTGAAATCTTTTTTAACAGCAGGATAAGATTTATGAAGGAGAACAAGTTCACCCGTTCACACCTCAGTGACTCATTCACACATATAGTTTAGTTAAACAGTTTCTACAGATGTTTGATTAAGAGAATGAAAATCCAAAAATGTGCCACAGCATCTTCATCTGCTCTCATGAGAACGGATTTGTTGAAGGGACGAGATCCTTTCATTCATAACCACTTATCCCCTCAGGGGGTGGAGCTTATTCCAGCTGACACAAGGTGAGAGGCAGGGTTCAACATGTCAGAGTACCTGGAGGAAACCCACGCTGACACAGGGAGAACATGTCGGAGTACCTGGAGGAAACCCACACTGACACAGGGAGAACATGTGGGAGCACCTGGAGGAAACCCACGCTGACACAGGGAGAACATGTCGGAGCACCTGGAGGAAACCCACGCTGACACAGGGAGAACATGTCGGAGCACCTGGAGGAAACCCACGCTGACACAGGGAGAACATGTGGGAGCACCTGGAGGAAACCCACGCTGACACAGGGAGAACATGTGGGAGCACCTGGAGGAAACCCACGCTGACACAGGGAGAACATGTCAGAGCACCTGGAGGAAACCCACGCTGACACGGGGAGAACATGTGGGAGCACCTGGAGGAAACCCACACTGACACAGGGAGAACATGTCAGAGCACCTGGAGGAAACCCACGCTAACACAGGGAGAACATGTCAGAGCACCTGCAGGAAACCCACGCACAGACTGCTGTCTCTCTGCAGCTGCAGTACCTGCAGTGACCACAGTGTCACTGTTTCACCCACATTCACTCAGTTCAGATAAAATGTCAGAAAATCATCAAAAATTTATATAAAATCATAAAAACTGATATAAATCTGATTTTTGGGGTAAAATCTGGAACGCTCCACGAGTTTGCGTGTCATCCTTGCGCAGGGGCCATGCTAATCTTCTCTGTATCGTTCCAATTTTATTGTGTGTATTGCTGACGCAACACAACAGAGGGCTGATTCTGGGGGGGCTTTATACGGAGCTGTCCTTTAACGCCTCACACTCAGGGGTCAGGACTCAGAAGACAGAGAGGAGGGTTTAAAGGCTCCTGCTGAGGAGCAGGGAGACACAGGAGGAGGTGTCGGAGCTGGACTGATGGTTACATACGTGTTATAAATCACACGGGCTCAGAGAGAGACTCTGAGCTGCAGTCTGAGCTGCTCCAGCTTCAGTCACAGAGGCATGATGGGAGATTTAGGCTCAATGCTGTGACGTCAGACGAGGGTGATTGGAGGTCTGAGGGCGGGAGAACAAAAGGCAGAGAGAGCGGCCCCTCCCCCCTCAGTCCTCCTGAAGAGACTCTGACCCCACCGGCCCCTCAGGGGTCAGCGGGGGATGGGCACAGGTCACAGCGAGCTGGGAGAGAGACTTTGAGACAGACAGGGGGGAGGGGGAGACACAAGAGGAGGAACCGGTCTGTCTGACGTCACTGCTGCGACGAGGAAGAGACGAGTTAGACTGTGGCTGCAGATAAACCTCCAGAGTGTCAGAGACAAGAGACAGAACGTGAGGAGACACGAGTCTGAAACGACACGTTGAACCAGCTCCTGGATCCTCAGGTATCATCAGATGTTCTGTGAGGCAGCAGCTGCACAAATACACAGTTTGGTCCTTTGAGCTGCAGCCAACGTCTGTGACCACATGATGTTTCAGCTGAGAGGCAGCAGAGAGGAAGAGGAAGATCACCAAACTGAACTTTAAGGCCAGACTCTGACACAGTGAGGAGACTCATGAAGACAGGAGGTGGTTAAAGAGTTAATAGGAAGAGTTGAACAGTGTGAACGAGGCGTCTCAGAGGGAGATTTACAGGAAGCTCCACCAGCACAATATGACGTCACCAGTCACGACTGACCGACCAGAGACTGCCAGTCTGATCCCGAGCTGTCTGAACCAGTAGCTGCTTTAAACCCTGGACACATGTCCCCATCAGTCCAAACAATTTGTCCTCATGTCCACAAACACAACAGAGCTGCTTCTGTCTTTCATATCAAATACGACGCAGAGCTTCGACTCCACGAACCTTCGGCCTCCTCTGCTCATCATACTCAACAGTTTCAGGGTCTGACTCCTCTGAACCTTCAGCTCACGTCTCTAACGTCTCTTCAGCCTTTATCTTCACCAGCAGCTAAAAACTGAGGAGACTCGTGTGAACCTGCTCTCAGCTCTGCTCCTGAACGCCTCTCAGACACCTCCTGACCTGGTCTGAATTTAAACTGATGTGTGTGTGTGAGGTGAAATCTGCCTTTAACATCTGATGTGTTAGTGTGTCGCTCAGAAACAGGAAGTGACCCCTCTGACTTTATATAAACACACCTGCTGATCTCAGATTCTGTCTGTGAAAAGTGTAAATCTGAGAGAACGTCCAACTGTCAGTCATAAATCTGCTGACGCTCCTGTAACACACTTTGTCTTGTCTGTAATTCCACTTCCTGTTACTGCTGTGATGTGATGAGGTCCTGCTGGGATGGAGTCATGAGGTTGTACCTGTGGTGTTGGCTGCAGGGCGCCCTCTCTCAGAGGTGGCGCCAATGAGAGATCTGACATGATTATTGTACCAGGTGTGATTTGCTGCTTTAAATTAGGAAAACTAACTCTGACTTTTTAAACATCTCATGACCTCATATGTCTCTTTTCTCTCTGTTTCTCTGTTGTGTAAAAAAAATCAATAAAAACTAATTAGAATATTTAAAAATATCATGCTAATACTAATAATAATGATACTACCAGCTGCAGTTCCACCAACCTGCCGCTGAGTGTCGGACCAAATATGGAGCGTGGACTGGTGGCTGGTGGCTGGAGAGAGAGTTCAGCTCCTGGGCACTGCCGAGGCGCCCTTGAGCAAGGCACCGAACTGCTCGGGATGCCTGACCAAGGGCAGCCCTCTCACTCTGACATCTCTCCACTCTGTGCGTGTGTGTGTCTTTCGGACCTGTGTGTTAATGACAAAAGAGTGAAAAATTGAATTTCCCCTCAGGAGTTATAAAAGAAATAAAAACATTTATTAACACTTTTACTTATCAGAGTCATCCTCAAATCATCCTCCGAAACAAACCGACAGAGTTTAAATTCATTTTAATTTACAGATCACACCAAAGATTCGCATGAATTCAGTTAAAGTTTTACATAAAATGTGTTTGTGTTTTAAGAAACAAGAAGACGTTAATTTAGCTGATTTTAATGGGAGGCTGGCTCCAAAGGAAGATCCTGCATTAAAGTAACTCCACTTCAGTCTCAAAGAAAACACAAACAAAATGACTACACTGTCACAAACGGTCCTTTTGATCAAATCTTTAATTTAGCATTGACAGTTCACAGCTGCTGTAACAACACTGGCACATTTTAATGACCTGCTCATTTGTAACAATTCCCCTTGTAATAAAATTAACCAAAGGAAAGGTTACAACGCTAATCTAAAGGTTACGGGCGGATCAGGTGCGAGGTGTTTGAGATACGAAAAGAGATTAATTAATTTTGCTTTATCACCCAAAACAAACTCAAATTCTCACACTTGCGGGGTTAAAATATTCAGAATAAACGAAGATTAACGAATGAGTCACAATAAGTTGAATCAATAATCAAACTTTAGTGAAAGAAAATAAATCATGTCCGCGTCCGGACGGAGATAACACTTAAACAAGAAACGGCGTGGGCGCTGGTTCACCAAACAATTCACAGGTTATCAAACACTTTTTCCACATTATCAAAAAAACACACTAACTAAAATAACCCGAATTACCCCCCCAGCAGTCAATCAAAGTCCCAGAAGCCGGCAAAAAAGAAAACATGTATGTTAAAGGGGAGTCTGTTGGAGCGTAATGAAGCGCCGCAGTTCACAAAAACAAACAAAGAACCACGCAACCTCACCACTCGTCCCGCTTGGCAGCAAAGTTGTGTCTTGAGGTAATCCACAAGGAACAAAAACAATCCGCTGTATTTGGTTTGATCCTTTAGAGACGGGAAACTCCTCGCACACCTCCAAACGCCGACTGCTCAGTTCTCCCCGTCATGCATCACTTCCCCCTTATATCAAGTTTTGGCATCAACATAATAACAATATTTCAGTCCATACCATACCCGTGTACATATAAATGGCATCTGATAAATACACAGCATTAATAAATGTGACAGCGGAACATGAAAAATTATAAATTTTTCCCTTCACTAAATGCCTTGTGTAAGGTAGAACTAGGCGACCTTTACACATTAACTACGAGTCAGTCTTTCAGCTACAGTCAAACTTCTACAACCAGTCCCTCATCACCTGAAACACACCTGAGCACTTAGGCCCAAACCCATTTCTCATTTTTGCCCCTACCCCTACCCGTCTTTTTCGAGTGCCCCTTGCCTGTTGCAACAAAGTTACAAGGGGTAGGGGTTGAAATATTCCCCTATGAAATGGGACAACCCTTCATACCCGGAAATGTCATCATTAGTCGTCAGTGACGTCATAAAAAGACGCAACGAGTATATTGCCGGGGAAACCTCACAACTAGCGATTTTTGTTTTGTTTTGTTTGTTAGAACAAATACATTGAAACGACATTTCCGATGGTTATCATAGTCTTTAAATCTTTAGTTACGAAGAAAATACTCTGAAGCCTTCCCTGCCATCTTGCCGGTGATTCAGAAGGCATTCTGGGAGATTTCTCGTAGCACTCGCTTTGAAGTGTGCCTCTGAAAGAACTCCCTTTGGAGGGCCATGTAGCCCTAGCACTCTGCCCTTCCCCTCTGCCTCAATGAGAACGGGGACATCTCTACCCCTACGCGTGAATGTGCAAAACGGAGGGGTAGGGGCAAGTGGTAGGGTTAAGGGGTGTATTGGGATTGGGCCTTAGTCTGCTACACTCATTTTGACTTTTATATTTATGAGCCGAATTCAGCCGAGCGTCTTCACGATTCATAAAATATCATTACATTTAATATAAAATCAGTTTTATGAGAAAAATACCTAAAATGAATAAATCTTTAGTTGGAGTTTGGCGGGACTGAATAATGTGAACAATGTCATTTAAACCCTTAAACGTCACTCTGCGTTTCATCGTCTGTGCGCGCGAACACTTATTATTTATTGATTAATTTGCTCGTCTGGGTCAAAGACACTCTAACGATCCCTCACTCTGATTGGTTAATTGTTAATTAGTGATCGATTTACAGTCCACCAGGCTGAATTGAGATTAACAGAGTTTTACCCGTAAATTAGTTTTTTCCCGCAGTGAAAACAGACCTTAAACTCAACACGAACACTAGCTCAGGTGAGTTCAGGTGAATTAAATTATTACATCATTGAAGACAGTTTGTCTCCAAACACGGTGAGACTCCATCAACACGTCAACAACTTCCTGTTGATGTCCCGTGAGAACCTCGTATCTCCAAAGAGTCACCTTCTGACGGGGGTCTGGAGATACGTGGTTCTCACGGGACAGGGGGGAACTGAGGCTTTCAGGTAAATGTGGTGACGTAGAAAGTACAGATACTCAGGTGAAGTACTGTGATGTCACTAAAGTACAGTAACTGAGTAAAAGTACTTTGTCAGTGTGAGTACTCTGATAGTTTCACCTGCTGTGTCTGAAGGAGCTCAACAGACATCCAAACATGACGTCACGTCATCAGGGACTGTTCATTATTTATGGTGTGTGTGTGTGTGTGTGTGTGTGTGTGTGTGTGCGTGTTCTGTATTTAGCCTGGATCAGGTCCAGTCTGGTTCAGTTCAGCAGACAGAATGTGACACACACACACAAACACACACACACACAGACATACACACACACACACAAACACACACACAAACACACACACACACACACACACAAACACACACACACACACACACACACAGACACACATAAACACACACACACACACACACACACACACATAAACACACACACACACACACACACACACATCCCATGATGCACCTGGACAGTGGTCACATGTTTCAGTGTTC